GGACCTTCAATTTGATGGCTTTTCCAGATGTATGGTAGGCTGCGGGATGTAGGCCTGGCTACCCTGAATGGGGGACCAGCAAGCAGGTTGGAGACATGCGCAGGAAGGGGCAGACATGTACTTCCTTTTCAGAGAAGTTACAAGGAAGCCCCATGTTTGCACCTCCTGGTTGACAGGCACAGGGTCGGAGGATCCTCACTGCGCTTGCTTGTTCCTGTTGTTGTTTTGGAGCATGACCACAGCCACCTTGTACTCATTATGGACCTCCTCTTGTGTCGAGGAAGTAGATAGAAGCTGGGGAAAGCAATCACTGAATTGGTTGGCCTGCTTCTGGCTACTTATTGAAAAGCACTTTGGCCAACACTTGAGGGGCTGGGGATAGCTTTGTCCGTAAATACAAGCAGTAAAATGTAACAGTTTGATATGGCTGGTATTACTGCATGATTTGCTCAGCCCTGCAACCTGCTTTCTTTGACTGACAGCTATCCTGGATGGTGTTCTGCATTGGTTACTGTAGGTCTGTAACATTTTTACCAGCTCCACGGTGCAGAGTTGCATGGAGCAAAGTCACTTCCCCAGCTGGCTTGGATCCTTTCCTGCTTTTCTCTGCTGTGTGCTCTGTCCAGATGTGTAGTGCTTGCCTGCCTGTAAATATTTACAGCAGCCTCCTCTCCACCCCCAAAAACCATTCAATTCCTTCACTGAGCTCTAATGTCATAGCAACCTGGCGCCAGCCAGTGGCTGGTCCTGAAAGGGCTTGAGAGAAATTATCCTTTTCTTGGCAGGTTTTGTTTTGGGGGTGGGTGGGGGAAAAGCAATACTGAGATTTGAACTCAGGGTCTTGTGCTTGCTCTGCCCTGCTCTGTACTGCTTTTCCCTTTCATCTGGCCGGCTCCCAAGCCCTGTCCACAACTTCTGCTACCAACTTCCATCTTCAGAAATGGAGGCCCAGCCTCCATCTCCTCCCTCCCCCCCCCAACACACAATTCCTTCCATGCCAAACCCACAGGAAATTGAGGCTCTGGGTGAATCCCCACCATCACACCGAGTTTTGTTTTGCCCCATCTGTCCCTCATCCTGGGGTTCTCTGTCCTGTGTTTTTCTCTCTCAGGGGCTCTTTGGACTCTAAATATCACCTCCCTGTGGCCCTCACGGCTATCTGAAGCCTTAACTTTCCTCCTGAGATGGAGTCTCATATATATTTTTTTGTTATTGTTGTTGGTTGTAGGGCTTGAACTCAGGGCCTGGATTCTGTCCTTGAGCCTCTTTGAGCGTAAGGCTAGCGCTCTACCACTTGAACCACTGTATTACTTCTGGCTTACTGGCAGTTACTTGGAAATGAGTCTCACAGACTTTACTGCCTGGCCTGGCTTCAAACCTGAATTCTTAGATCTCAGCTTCCTGAGTAGCTAGGATTACAGATGTGAGCCATCGGTGCCTGACCACAGTCTCATATTTTTAAATTGCAAAACTCAACTGGACACTGCCTTGTTTTCCCGACTTCCAACACTAGAGCCAATTCCTAGCTCATGGGAAATGGTCAGGACCTGGGGTGCTCTGAGCCTCTGGCTAGAACCACCTGGTTCTCTCTCCTGTCATCAGCCGGACAAACATCAGGCCTGGGGTGTCCAGCAGAAGTGACAGGGCCAGGGGAGGGGATTTGTAGCTTCTGATGGATTCATTAGGAGAAAGAACCAGAGATCTTAGCGTAGGCCAGAGTTGTTTATTTGCCCTACTTGTTTTCTTAGTAGATTTTATTTAGAGAAGTTGTAGGTTTATAGAAAAGTTTTGCAAAACTTACAGAGAGCTCGAAACCCTCCCTCAGCACTCTGCCTCCAGTTCCCTCTGTGGTTACCATTTGGGGTTGGTGTCCTATCTTGTTAAAATAGAGGAGTGTTTGTTTGGTGTTGGTCCTGGGACTTGAACTCAGGGCCTGGTTGTTGTCCCTTAGCTTTTTCACTCAAGGCTGGTACTCTGCTACTTGAACAACACTTCCACATCTGGCTTTTTTGGCCTTTTGGTGATGAATTGGAGATAAGTCATCTGGACTTTCCTACTTAAGCTGGCTTTGAACCAGGATCCTCTGATCTCAGCCTCCTGAGTAGCTAGGATGACCAGATTTGAGTTTCTTATGTCAAGTGTCATCTCACAGGAATCTAAACTGTAGCTCTCAAAATGACTACCCCTGAAGATGCATAGAATGAAGTCAATCTAGTGTGACCATTCCTGTCCACCAAGTGGCTGGCTATGGGCTGTGTTCCAGGCATAAAACGGGTGTGCGTGACTCACAAGGTACTTCTGAGGCAGGGCAGAGACCAGGGTCCAGAGAGCCAGAGAGCGTGGAGGAGCAGTGCCTGAAGCACTGATATGTGAGCCTGTGCAGCTCCAGGGTCCATGGAGGGAGAGCAAGCCGGTGAGTGTTCATCCTGGAGGAGGCAGAGTGTGGCGGGCCTGAAAGGCAGCAGAGACTGGATGGGAAGAGGACCTGAAGCTTGGGGTTAGGCCCAAAGCCTGGCCAGGATGAAGTGATACCAGGGAAAGGTTGTGGGTATCTGTGCTCTGCCTGGGTGGCCCACAGTGACTGCTGGGTGAGGAGATTCCCCAGGGAAGGGCCAGGCCACCAGCCTGTTGAGCCGGCTTCTCCATCTGCAGATACCAGGCCCTGCCCAGCGGGCTGGGCCAGGTTCCAAGGCTGGTAGCAGGAAGGAACTGACATAAAGGAGAATGCCCTGCATTCATGGATGGGCACACCTGATTAGGGAGCCTGCTGCTACCCCTGCTTTGCCCTGCCAGGACTCCTCAGGGTGCCCAGGCACCTGGGTGTGGTTTTTACTTTGGCTGGTGGTACTTGTACATAACACTGAGCATTGGATGCAAGCTGTGACCAGTCTTCAGTGACATCTGTGTGCGTGTACAAGTGCGCATGTGCACGTGCATGTGCATGTGTGTGCGCGCACGCATACACACACACACACACATACACACGAGGCCCATGCTTGCATCTCCATGGACCTCAGGTTAGGGACCCTCATCCTTGGAGCTACTGCAGCCCCTGGACCCTCTCCTGAATGGGTTTTGTGTGGTCCTGGTGCTGTGCTGGTCTATATCATACTATTACCTCGAGGCATGTGTGTAGCATTTAAGAGTTGATACTGTTCAATTTGGCCTCTCATAGAACTGCCCCAGCCCTAACCAATCAGATATTAATGCCGAAGATGAAAAACTGGTATACTTACTCGGCCAGGCCAAGTTCATCCCTCTGGGCTGCAAACTGCCGTAAGTCCAAGTCTTGCCCTAAGTCCCTCCTGCCACACTTCTGCAGAGCCATCTCCAAGTTCAGCCTATCCAGGGTGCTTGTTAAGGTAAAATGGATCAGGAGGGACTTTGGGACAGCTGGCAGTCTTGGACCCTCGAGTCCCTTAGCCATATGGTGCCAAAGCCAGTACAGGTGACCTGTGACATTTGGGGTGTGTGTGTGTGTGTGTGTGTGCTGGTACTGAGGATTAGACTCTGGTACTCAAGAGTCTAAAGCTCTCACTTGGCTTTTTTCACTGAAGGCTGGTGCTCTACCACTTGAGCCACAGCTCTGCTTCTGGCTTTTTGGTGGCAAATGGAAGATAAAAGTCTCATAGATGTTCCTGCCTGGGCTGGCTTCTGCCCTTATCAGGTCTCAGCTTCCTGAATAGCTAGGATTACAGGCATGAACCACTAGTGCCAGGCCCCATACATGTTTTCATATTTTTTTTCCCACTGTGGCCAGTAAGCAGTAAGCCTTTGATCATAATGCAGTCTCGTAACAAGATCTACATAATAGGCAGAACCAATATCCCAAAGTGATGCTCACCTTGATGCCATGCCTCATTCTGGTTACATTGTGTTCTGTTGTTTCCCTGCGCTATTCTATTTTTAAACACTAGTCATGGCTCAGTGAATTAGCTTTGTGATGGTGAGACAGATTGTGAGCTGTAGTTTGGATAATACTAAGAAGAACTCTGGTCACTGTGCCAGGGCTGCCTGAAGGTGTTTGGAATTGTGCCGTGTCGGGCTTCTGACCCTGGCTGCAGCCAGACTGCCGGACATTTGGCCATTGGCCATTTGGATTCCACTGCCCCAGCTCACTGCCTGTCTTTCTCTCCCTCTGGTGGACTCAGGCCTTGATCCGGCAGAGTGGGGCCGCTGGTCTTTCTGGTTCTGTGGCAGGGTGGTGTCCCAGGGTTGCCTAGCAACCCTGTTTAATGTTGGCTTTGCCAGGTCCTGGCTGAGTGACCTTGTACAAGTCCTTTTCTATCTGGAACATTCATCTACAAGATAGGAGGAAGGGAGGGAGAACTACTTTGTGCTGTTCAGTGTAGGAAGGTTTTCATAGCTGTTATAATTTTCTTAGTGAAGAGTTGGAAGAAAAGAAAAGTTTTGTAGTAAAACAGCCATAAGCTGGGCACTGGTATTTCACCCTTGTCATCCTAGCTACTCCTGAGGCTGAGATCTAAAGATGGATTGGGGTTCAAAGCCAGCCAGGGCAGGAAAGTCTTGACTGGCTTTCAAGTTGGGACCCTCAGATCTCAGCCTCCTGAGCAGCAAGGATGACAAGTGTGAACCCTGATGCCTGGCTTCAGTTCTCTTTTATAAGGGTGCTAACCCCACTCTGTCATGTCATGTAGGTTCCAGCAAAATCCTTAGGGATTTTGAAGGAGAAAACATTGCAGTTAAAGCAATCACCATACTAGGGTGACTAGCTCTTACCAGAGCTCTTGGGGTGAAGGTCTGCCATATGGAACTTTCTATGGTGGATTGAAAAGAAGCCCTATCTTTTGCCATCCTCTGTGGGCCCGTGTCTGAGATTGAATAATGACTTACTGGATGCAGCTGGTGTTGGCTGATGTCTTCATGTTGACCTCTTCTAGGGAATCCAGGATGCCCAAGCCCTGAGGAGGCCTGGAGAGAGGCAGGGGCTGTCCCCCACCAGCCTGGCCCACCTGTCATCAAGATGCTGAGCCTGAAGCTCCCCAGGCTGTTTAGCATCGAGCAGGTGCCCCAGGTAGGTGCTTGGTTCCTTCTGGTGACTTCTAGGGTGTGTCCAGGGCTTGCTCTGTGCCATGGGGTGGGGTGGGGGAGGCTGTGGGCAGCCTGTTTGCTCTGCACAGGTCTTTTCTCCTTGTGCCCTCCCCTCCTCGATCTCCTTCTGAAAGCCTGTTTTGTTTCCTGTTTCATGAAGCCTGGAAAAGGAAGCGATCCTGGTACTTTTGAAGTCGCCTTTTCCTGTGACATCTGTCTTCTTTCCCAAGGCAAAAATCCTTAGCTGGATCACAGATTCAGACTGCCAAGAGGGGGCTGACAGCAGCTGGCTGGGCAGAGAGGTTTGTAGGGCCTCCTGTGGAATGTGGAAAGCAGGCCCCGTTCAGCCACCTCAACATGGCTTTGCTGGAAGCCTCACAGGAGGCCTCCTATTCCAGGTCAGGTGACAGGAAGGGCAGTCCCATGGGCTGGGAAGGTGGCTCAGTGGTAGAGCACTTGCCTTGCATGCTCAAGGCCCTGGGTTCCATTCCTCAGCACCACATAAGAAAAAAGAAAAAAGCTGGAAGTGGCTCTGTGGCTCAGGTGGTAGAGCGCTAGCCTTGAGCTGAAGAGCTGAGGGACAGTGCCCAGGCCAAGAGTTCAAGCCCACTACCAGACCCCCCCCCCAAAAAAAGGGAGGGCAGTCCCCTTCAATGCACTTCCAGGCCTCCGTAGCCATCCTGGGGTATGTGGGACCCACAGGAGACATCCTGGATATGTACTGTGATAAGCTGGGCACCCATTTCCTTGCAAAGACAGATCCCTGGGTCCACAGCTTCCTATTTGCATCCTTCCTTTGGGCTGAGGTGGAGTTATGTTCTTGTGGTGAGAGGTCCCTGGGAGGTGACGACAGGACAGGAGAGAGCCCCTCCTCCTCAGCTCATTGCCACGCACTTACAGTTCCCCACGAGGAAAACAGTTCACCAAACTTAGCATCAGGAGTGAAGGTCAGAGCCAGGTGCCGGTGGCTCACTCCTGTAATCCTAGCTATTCAAGGGGCTGAGATCTGAGGATCATGGTTCCAAGTCAGGCAGAAAAGGCCACGAGACTATCATCTACAATTAACCACCAAAAAGCCAGGAGTGAAGGAGATATAGCTCAAGTGTAGAGTGCCAGCCTTGAGAAAGAAAGAAAGAAAAAAGCTAAGGTACAGTGCCCTGGCCCTGAGTTCATGAGTTCAAGCCCTCAGCACAAAAGGAATGGCAGTTGAAAAAGAGACATCTGCCAAGTCCTAGCCTCAGCCTGCAGTGAGGTTCTTGGAGAAAGTGGCCCAGGAGAAAAGGGGCACCACTTAGACTCAAGAGTAGGGATGAGACGAGGAAGGAGGCTGCCCCACCCCCAGTGTGGGCCAGGCTGGGATCTGAGCACATTGCTGGGGATGCAGCTCAGGAGAGAGAGATTCACACACATTAGTAGCCACTGTGGTGTGCAGTCACTGGGATGCTGAAGGTTGGGGCCAGCAGTGCCTGCACAGGCTGTGGGCTGCCCTTGACTGTATCTTCTCTGCTTGTACTCATAAATGACAGGGCAGCAGTATCCTTCTTGGTGACAGGACACTAGCCCAAGGCAGAGGCCACATCAAAACAAGCACCTCTGCTGGCCCAGAGGGGAATTTCACCTGGTGATTTGCTGGGGGAGATACAGGGGCAGGGGAAGAAGAGAGGTATTTTTGAATTAACTAGCTGCAAACAGAGAAAAGATTAAAATGCACAATTTACTAGTAGTCTTGAGCATGTAGATGTGATACTTTCTGTCCTGAGCACTGTGAGTGCTGATTCTTGGTTTGCGGACTGAGCTCAGAAAAGATACTCTTGGCAAGCTGGGCGCAATGGTAGTTCACACTTGTAATCCTAGCTACTCAGGAAGCTGAGATCTGAGGATCATGGTTCAAAGCCAGCCTGGGCAAGAAAGTATGGAAGGGGGCTGGGAAAGTGGCTTAGTGGTAGAATGCTTGCCTCGCATGCATGAGGCCCTGGGTTCAATTCCTCAGCACCACATAAATAGAAAAAGCTGGAAGTGGCACTGTGGCTCAAGTGGTAGAGCACTTGCCTTGAGCTAAAGAACTGAGGGACCCAGAGTTCAAGCTCCTGACGGACTTAAAAAAAAAAGTCTGGAAGAAAACTAGAAGTGGTGCGGTGGCTCAAAGTGGTAGAGTGCTAGCCTTGAGCAAAAATGCTCAGGGACAGTGCCCAGGCCCTGAGTTCAAGCCCCATGACTGACAAAAAAAAAAAAAAAAGATTCTGCATCATGAATCCATTTGGCCTATATTCTTGCTTGTACTCTCCTTGCTTGCTTGAGTTTTGCATTCTTCTTTCTTTTTTTCTCTTTTTCACACTCTATTTTCCCCTTGCATTTGTTTTATAATTGCTGTGAGCGATGTATGTTCTCTCCGAGAGTTTAGAGGTTATTTCAGTTTTTGTGACACGAACAGCTGTACCTTAAGATAAGGCTAATACGTTTACCCCTGGTCCCTTGGTGATAGTTTAAATATTTCACTTCACATTTCATAGCTGCCAACAGGGGTGGTGGGAAGTAGAGGCCTGGGCAGGTGGAAGTCCTGCCGTCTTCTGGCCATACCACATGGTACAGAGGGCCACCAAAGCTACCACACAATGGGAAGGGGAATAGCTGTGTTGGTTTGGGATCCCTAGAAACAGACTCAGCTCTAAAATTTTGCATGCAGAAAGTTAACCCAGGTACCTTCTCAAACACAACATCTGTGAGGCAGTAAGGGGAATGAGGAGGGTAGATGGAGATGTTGGATGGCAGGAGGGCTGGACAGTGATTGTTCTTTCTGAGCAGTCCTGAATGAGAAAGGGGTCCAGGAAACACAAAACAAGCAAAGCTCTTGATTGTATCTAGCTACACTCAACAAAATGCCAAAGATAAGTGAATTTAATTACTGCAATCATATCTTGAGTGTTATGTGGATGGATAAAAGATATCAGGAAGAGTCATAGGGCAAAAACATACATAATTCATAATTTATCGTGTTGATGCTGTAAAGTTTATTTATTTATTTCTGGTTGGTCATGGGGCTTGAACTCTGGGCTTGGGCACTGTCCCTGTGCTCTTCAGCTCAAGGCGAGTGCTCTACTGCTTGAACCACAGTGGTACTTTGGGTTTTCTAGTGGTTTACTGAAGATAAGAGTCTCGCCATGCTGTTGTGTTGCTCAAGTTCTTAGACAGGAAATTAAGAAATTAATTCAATTAGAGGAAACTCTGGCTAAGTTTGTGGTCAGTCCTGTTGAGGTAGAACAGTAAGAATTACCGAAAGCATCATTAAATCCACACTTAGAACCAGAAAGGAAATAAATAAATGTAACAGACTTTACCAGCCAAGTTCAAATGCTATAATGAGGCTGCAACAAGCAAGAATAATTATATAAAGCAAACGCAAAGGAAAAAAAAACATTAAAAATGTTTATTTCATGTGTCCCCATCTCATACAGTTGGCTATACTTTCTCAGGGTAATATCTGAGTTACACAGCAATTGATTATTTTGCTTAAGTAAAGATAGAGTCCATATGAGGTGAGAGGATTGAGATTTGAGGCCAACCTGGGCAGAAAAGTTAGCAAGATGCCATCTCAATCACTAAGCCAGGTGTAGGGTAGACTTTTGCTCTCCCAGCTATACAGGAAGCATAGGTAGGAGAATGTTGTTTATCTATCCCTCGGCAAAAAGTAAAACCCCATCTGAAAAATAACCTCATACCAGAAGGGTTGAGGCATAGCTAAAGCAGAAGGGCAGCACCTGCCTAGCTAGTGGAGGTGAGCCCTTGAGTTCACACCTCCAGAGCCACCTCCCTTGCATACAATATGCATCTTATAAAGAAAACGGAAAATGGCAGGATTTTTGCTAGTTGAATAATAAAAATTATAGTTCAATCTACAGTGAACTTCATGAAAAAAATCTCTGCAGAAATATTGATGTCAGGATTATGCATACATAAATCCCTTTGAACCATGATCCTCAGATCTCAGTCTCTGGAGGAGCTAGGATTAAAGGTGTGAGCCACCAGCACCTGGCTGCCAACAACGTCTTCTAACAATGAGATCAGTGTTGCTTGCTCCCTATTGGCAATGAGGTGTATCTTCTGCTTCACTGATTTTTGTCTAGCCACTATGAACCTTGTCTGAACTGGACCCAAATTCTTAGCAGCTCTCCTTTGGCACTCACATTGGGTGACAAGGGTAATTTGATGTCAAGTGCAATGGGCATTTTTGCAAGATGTCTCATTTTAGGGAAGAGCTGAAGAGCAGGATGCATACTTTAGAATTATCTGAAAGAAAGCCATCAACTCTAGTTGGCCATCTACACCCTGTGCTGCCACCCCGAGCACTAGATTGTTGTTTTTATGACATTTGCTTCTTTGCTTTTCCTGCTTTGCTAATCTGTTCATCTACTAGGGTTTATTCTTTCCTCTCTGTTCTTGTTTTATTTATTTTCTTTTTCAGAGAGTAGGATGCACTGAAGCTCATCTTAAAGTGCTGGTTTAGTAGTTATGAATCCTTTAGCTCTGGTTTATCATGGAATGCTCTTTTTAAAAAAAACTGTACTGTATTTTTATTACAGTGGTGATGTACAGAGGTGTCACATACATGAGTCAGGTGATAAGTGCATTTTCTTTCATGCAGGGCATCTGTGTCCTCATTCTCTCCCAGTCTTTCTCTCTCTCATCTCCACCCATGAGTTGCATAATTCACTTTCATCAATGTCCAGTGAGCTCCACTGCTGCATTTTTTCACCCTTAGGGTTCTGTGCTCTCACCTCAACCATCCCAAAGATATATGTATGAGTACACCGTATATAAGGTAAAGAATACAGAATCATCAGAAAAAGAAAAAATTATAAAAAGGCTTTTGTTTCCATATCTTAGGAGTTTGTTTCAGTATATGTATTATTTTATATTACTATGAAGAGGTGCTTAGGCTTTTCACCTTTGTGGTTCTCTCCTAAGACTATCCTCTTTTGGTCTCACTGTATGTGAGCATCTAGAATCCTGTGTAATTTGTCATGCCCCAGTGTGTTTTTAGAGCTCACTTCCATATATCAGAACATGCACCATTTGTCTCTCTGCTCCTTGGCTTACCTTACTTAACATGATTTGTTCTAGTTTCATCCATTTCCCTGCAAATGACATTATCTTATTCTTTCTAATGGCTGTGTAAAATTCCATTGTATATAGGTACCACATTTTTTAGATCTACTCATTTAGGCTATTTCTATAGCTCGGCTCTTGTAAGTAATTGGGCAATAAATGTGGATTTGCAGGTGTCCTTGTCACATCCTGGTTCATGATATTCAGGGTAGATGGCTAGGAGAATAGCCATGGGAAGATCTATGTTTAGTTTTTTGAGGAACCTCCAGACTGCTTTCCAGAGTGGTTATATTAGTTTACATTCCCACCAGCAGTGCAGTAGGGTTTCTTTTCCCCCACATCCCCACCAGCATTTGTTGTTTGAATTCAAAATGTTGGTCAATATAACTGGGGTGAGATGGAATCTCAGCATTGTTTCGATTTGCATTATGGAATGCTTTTATTTTTCCCTCAATTACGGAAGGGTAGCGTCAGTGAGTATAGTGATCTAGCTTGGTAATCATCTTTCAGGACTTGAATTATATCCTTCCATACCCTCCTTGCATTTAGTGTAGAAATCTGCTGTTACTTTAATGGATCTGCCATTGTAAGTTATGTGTCTCTCCTCTTTTGCAATTCTCAATATTGTTTCTTTATTTGGTGTAATTAATGTTTTAGCTGTAATATGTCTGGAGTATTTGGAGTTCTGTAAGTGCCTGCCACACAGATAACTCTCTCAAGGTTGTGGAATTTTTCTGCTATTATTTTATTGAATAGGTTTTCTAAACTGTTAGCTGATATTTCTTCTCCTTCTATATCCACAATTGTAAGGTTTGATCTTGTGGTAACATCTAAGAGGGCTTGTAGATTCCCTTCATATCTTCTAAGTGTCTTCTTTGTTTTTTTTTTTTTTGAATTGTGGTTGAGTTCTGCCCTCAAAGTTTTCTATTGTTTGTCTAACAAAGGATCAAATATTTAGGGGTTTAAAGGAAAGCTAAAAAGGCAGTGGTATAGCGATGTGGTACAGCCCTTGCCTAGAATGCACGAGATCGTACGCTCATCCTTGATGCAAAAGAAAAAAGATATGGGCTGGGAATGTGACTTAGTGATAGAGTGTTTGCCTAGCATGCATGAATCCCTTGGTTCAACTCCTCAGTACAACATAAACAGAAAAGTCTGGAAGTGGTAGATTGCTAGCCTTAAGCAAAAAACTCAGGGAGAGCACCCAGGACCTGAGTTAAAACCCCCAGGATTGGAGAATAAAAAAGATAATTATTTTGAATAATAGTATTTTTCCTCTCTGCACCTCCACCTTTCCCTGTGTAGACACTGGCGAACTGGATGAGGACCCACCTCTAAATCCAGGTGCAGTTGCATTCTGAGGGTTTGTAGGGTCAGGGCTTCAGTGTATGAATTTGAGGAGGAAGAAGCTGAGGCTTGGAGAAGCCCATGAGCCACCACAACCCAGGACATGAGCCATTCTATCACTCCAGAGACTCCTTGGCAGCTGCGAGGAACAGCAACATGAGCAGATGCATCCTGGTTCTGCGCTTGGCTTTCACCTTCACTTCTGCTGCTAGCGACTTAGCTAAGTGGCCTGACCTCCGCAGGACTCAGATCCCTTTTTTGCAAAGTATAGATAATGGACGCCTCTTCTTCACAGCGTGGTGCTCAGGATTCAGTGGGATTTGGACACTAATAGTACCTGCAGTCTCCCTGTCCCCCTTCTTACCTTCCCCTGCACCTGCTGTCAAATTCTGCTGCTTACCACCCGGCAGAAATATTCTATTATTTTCCCTGGATGACTTTTAGTTTAATAGCCAGCAAAAACCAAAGAGTTTCAACTGCTATGGTGGAATTCCAGGCATCAACCAGCAGGTGTGCAGGAGCTTTGCTCTGCCAGGCAGCCTGTCACAGGCTGAGCCTTTGGTGGGCACAAAAGACGGAGCCTGACTGATGATCCCTTCCACCCAGAGTGCCGGCTTTCTTGCTGCTTAATGATAGGCTGCCCCAGATTTGATTTCCTCTCACTCCAAACTGCCCAGCCTGCTACCAGGCGTGCAAAGTGGGGTCTACAAATCAACCCCACTGTGCAAATAAGCAGGTACCTGCTAATGTTGGGGCACCTAGAGGCTGAATTCTGGTTTCCCAGTGCTCGGGAGATGGTTGCCATTTGCCTTTGGGGTTTGAGCTGGGTGTAGAATACAAAACTGTTTCCATGTGTGTTATTGTCGGGTGAGATGTGACTCTTGTTTGTGCAAGGTAATTTGTGCCGAGAACGTGGCTGTGACTGGCGGGGCAGGAGGAATAGACTGCATCTCCTTTTGCTTTGCTCGGAGCTTCTTAGACAGAGCAGACTAGATCTAAGTACTGGCAATTTGGGTTCATAAACAGAGGTTTTGTAAAATGAAGGTTTATATTGGAGGAAAGACACCGGGCCATCTTTGTTATTGTTTTGTCTAGTGTGTATGTGTGTGCACAGGTGCGTGTGGGCACACGTGTGCCAATCTTGGGCGCTGTCCCTCAGCTTTTGTGCTCAAGGATAGCACTATACCACTTGAACCACAGCTCCACTTCCAGGCTTGATTTTTTTGGTTTTTGGTGGTTTTTTGGGGTGATTAATTGGAGATAAGAGTCTCACAAACTTTCCTGTCTGGGCTGGCTTTGAACCCCGATCGTCAGATCTCAGTCTGCTGAGTAGCAGGATTACAGCTGTGAGCACCAGTGCCTAGCTTCTTTTATGCACACAGGCAGTGTGAGGTGCCACACAGCACACTAGTGAACCAGCACATAGGCTGCTTCTGCACAATGAAGACAGAAACAGCCCCAAATGCCACCATCATGGTACAACCATGGCAGGAGCGGAGTTTCCACCCCATTTTTCTTCACCTAGTGTCTTACCTGAGCAATCCAATTTTCTTGCTGAGGGTGTTTTGGGGTGGACTGGCAGAGTAGGCTGCCAGGGTGGAGAGGTCAGAGGTCACCGCCCTAGCTGGGACCAGTCTCCTGCTGCCTCAGCCCAAGCTGACAGCATCATGGGTCCGTGTCATCAAAGGCCTTTGTGAAGCATCTTGTGCATATACCTGGCCCCCGGGGCCTTCTTCTGCAGAGCTCGCCCCCTCTCCCACAGCCCCTGACATCTGGGGCTCACTGGCTCAGACAGACAACATCTATGTTATACAACCGCAAAGGCATCTGAACACCGGGCTGTGGGCCCCAGGCAGAGGGGGCAACATTCATGCCGGGAGTGAATGAGCTGGGAATGCCAAGGCAGGCTGGGTTCCCTCCTCTGGCTGGCTGGAGACAGACTGCTCGGAGGACAGCAGGCTACAAAAGCTCCTCGAAGGGAAGAAGAGAGGTGAGGTGGGGTGGGGGTGGGAGGCTCCATCAAGACCTCCACGTTCCCCAGACCTCCGGCCACCTGCGGCTTACCCTGGGGCGCCCTGGCATCTCCTTGCAGGTGTTCCATGAGCAGGGCATTCTCTTCGGCTACCGACACCCGCAGAGTTCTGCCACTGCCTGCATCCTCAGCCTCTTCCAAATGAACAATGAGACGCTCAACATCTGGACTCACTTGCTGCCCTTCTGGTAACCTCCTGCCCCCCCCACCCCACCAGTCCCTCCCTCCCTCCTACCCCCAGATGAGGGTGGGGGAGGGAGCCTTGTGGCTCTGCACTGGGATTGGGGGGGTGTCCCTGCATGGGTGCTTGTGAGCATACTGTAGAGGGGGAGTGGTTGGGTCTGCCGGGGAATAAGCTTTAGGCATGGATTGAGGTAGGGTTGCCAAAGGTCTCTGGATTTTCATGGCTTGCTCTGGGTTGACAGCCTGCTCTCTCCCTTCCCCTTTGAGGCATGGCAGGCCTTTAGAGGCCCTGGCGACAATGCCACCAGATCACTCCACCTCTCTTCCTGCATCATCCACCCAGTGGAAGAGACAAAAGCTAGGGGGTGGAGTGGGGTGATCCTTTTAGGGAAGCTCAACAATTCCAGGGGCTATCGCCTGGGCAGGTTGGCATTGAAGTTCTGCTCAAGAAGGCCACTGCTGTGTTACATTTTGTTTTCATAAAAAGTCTGCTTGCGGGGCTTAGTAGTAGAGTGCTTGCCTAGCATGCATGAAGCCCTGGGTTCAATTCCTCAGAACCACAGACACAGAAAAAGCCGCAAGTGGTGCTGTAATGCAAGTAGTGGAATGCTAGCCTTGAGTACAGAGAGGCTCAGGGACAGAGCCCAGGCTCTGCATTCAAGGCCCACGACTGCCTAGTATGGCAGTACATACCTGTAATCCCAGCACTAGGGAAGCTGAGGCAGGAGAACTGATTGTTGAGAGACAGCTTGGACAATATGGCTACATCTTGTACAAATAGTTTAAGCTGTGGGGTCCAGTGATGTCCTCCAGCCTTTGGAGGGATCTTTGGTGAGAAAAGGAGCAGTTCGTAGAACCGAGGAGCAGCGAGGGCCGGACCCCAGATACATGGGGGTCATAGGTTGGAAGATCTGAGACAGAACTGGAGAAGCTCTGACTGCTCCAGACTCTACTTCTGAGGAGGCCGTGAGCGTCTCCATCCTTGGAGGGAAGCTAGTGGAGACTGGGCGAGCACTGGAAAGATGCGTTAGGAGAGACGCCAGCATGGTGGCTCGGGAGGGGACTGGATTAGATGAACCTAAAGGCTGCCTGCCCACTCCCAGCTCACTGCCGCTCGGGTCAGACCAGGCTCCTCATGCCATCCTGGTATTTGGCATTTTTACCATCTTGAGAACTAGGGATTGACGATCACCACAGTGGAGGTGGAGGTGATGGGGGGCGGTCCGGGGAGGCTGAGGCCCACACTGGGTTCCAGGTTCTTCATGTGGAGGTTTGTGACCATGCTGTGGATGACAGACATCCAGAATGACAGCTACTCGTGGCCCGTGCTCGTGTACATGTGCACCAGCTGCGTGTACCCGCTGGCATCCAGCTGTGCCCACACCTTCAGCTCCATGTCCAAGAACGCCCGGCACATCTGCTACTTCCTAGACTACGGTGCTGTCAACCTTTTCAGCCTGGGTAGGTGGATCCTGAGCAGCCCTGGGACCTGCCTTGTGTCCTGCCCACTGGCCCTCGGTCAGTGCACCAGAGGCTTTGCTGGGTTTGCAGAAGAGTCATGAGGACCCCCTGGGCCCTGTGGGGACCTCATCCTCCATGACACCAGGGCCCATGTCCAGCTTCCTCAGGGCCCTGTCAGGAGCTTGTCTATTATGGGCTGGCAGAGTCAGCAGGCCTGGGCTGTGGGCACTGTCTGCCAAGTTCTATGGTGTAAATGCTCCTTTGGGGCCACCCTCCAGTTCCCAGCACGAGGTCACAGGGTGCAGAGGTGGGCAGGGGTGTGCCACGACATAGTAGTTGCACGGAGGTCTTAAGACTGCTGTCGTGATTTGGTTCATCGCAAGGGCATGAAGGGTTCATTTGTAACCGTGGCTGGGTTTAACGTAGGCTTACAAGAACTCTGAAACTTTTCACAGTCAACTCTTACAAGCCAGGATGGGATAAACTTGCACTTGGGGCTGGCCTGTCCCACCTGGTAGAACAGGAGTGGGGTCACAGACAACCCACTCAAGGGTTGAGGCACCAGCTTGGGGACAGTCTTTCCCGGGGTCTCTGCGGTGCCTGGGCCCAGCTCTGTTCCTGAAGCCAGTCTTCCTCTCCCAGGCTCAGCCATTGCATACTCGGCCTACACGTTCCCGGACGGGCTGGTCCGCACCACCTTCCATGAGTACTACGTGGCCTTGGCTGTGCTGAACACCATCCTGAGCACCGGCCTTTCCTGCTACTCCAGGTACTGGGGTGTTGAGCTTGTGCAGGACGGGAGGAAGGAGAGCCAGGCTTGGGACCCCCTGTGAGGTCTGCAGAAGAGGCAAGCTCGGTGTGAAGCTTCCCGGGAGCCTGGAACTCAGTTTCCCCTACTGACAGATACCATGGGTGTCATCTGTTCAACCACGTACCATCTTCTGCTTGGAAAAAAATCCCACATTTGGTCAAATGCTCTGAAATTCTTCTTTTTCAGTGGTACTGGGGTTTGAACTCAGGGCCTTAAACTTCCTAGGCTGGCACTCTACCACAGAGGCATGCCTCTCTCCCTGTTTGTTTCTTCACTGGTTATTGTAAATAACCACACATGCACCTAGACTATGATCCACCTATTTTAGGCTTTCCTGGGAACACAGATTCATAATCACCACCTCTAGCCTCCCTCCATGGAGTCGGAGATTTTTCTGCCCAGGATGGTCTGGCACCAGGATCCTCCCAATCTTGGTCTCTTACACAACTTGGAATAGCAGGAAAATGCCACTGTGCCCAGCTACACGTTAAGAAAGAGCCTTGAGAACTTTTCTGCCTGGGCTGACCTTGAACCACAATCCTCCTGTTCTCAGCCTTCCAAGTAGCTAGGATTACAGGTGAAGGCCATTGGTGTTCAGCCTTAATTCCTTTTGAGTAAAAGTACCCTGAACTTTGGCCTGGACAAGTCAACTTTCTGGCTCTATGTAGCCCCATCCCTCACCTTCCTGGAACTTGAACTTGGGTCTTGACATTGACCTCTGAGAAGGGGAACAAGGGCAGTATGCCTGGCACACATGTGGCAGGGTTGTGATGTGTAGGCAGAGCTGTTGCCAGTAAATAAGATGTGCTCTTCCGAGTGCTTGGTGGGCATATTCAGATGTCTGCCTCCACCCCAAGGTCAATGAGTTGCGTCACTGTCTCAGCTTCCTACTGTTCATCCTTCCACTCAGGAAAACGTGGGGCATGGGTGATAGGTTTTGTGGGACTGAGGAGCAGTTGGGAAGTTTCACAAACCTGACAAACTGGTTTTGGGGAGGAGAGTGAACCTTAAACAGCTCTGGGAATGCTGGCCCCAACCTGCCTATATCCACCCAGAGGGGAAAGGAAGAGAGGGTTACATGAGAGTAGATTCCAGGCCTAGGTGGTACAATGCTGGAGTTTGTGAAGCTTTGTCCTCAGGCTCACAAGGACCAGACACTACTCTGTCCGTTTGGCAAGCCAGGACCACGAGGCCCTGGTGTCTGGAATTGAGGCTTAGGGAGCTGATGACTGGTGAAGGAGCAGAGGCATTAATGGGTGTGGAAGAAACATCTTGGAATGCAAAGTCTTGGATGTTTGCTACTTTCTGTTAAGTCCTGTGAATCACCTGTAAGCCACCAGGGTTGCTGGAGGCCTCCCTGATTGGGCAGGGATGGAAAGTATTCTGGGTTTGGCATGCCTGGTACATTTTGACAAATTTGTTTGACAGCTGGGCCAGGAATCTCCTGCATGCCTACATTTGGGGGGGCTCCCCTACCTTGACAATCAAAGAGGTTATTTCTGTTTATGTGTAGAGCACCCCTGTGGCTGTTTCGTCCATCCATCCATCCATCCATCATCCATCTACCCACCTCCATCCATCAATTATCCATCTATCGTCTACCTGGTCCATCCAACCATCCATTAATCATCCATCCATTTACCTCCATCCATCCATCAATCATCCATCCACCCATCCATCCATCCATCCATCCATCCATCCATCTATCCATCCATCCACCTACCTTCACCCACCCACCCATCCATCCGTCCATCCATTATCTACCTCTATCTGTCCATCAGTCATCCATCTGTCAATCATCCATCATCTATCTAATCATCCACTCACCCCTTATCCATCCATCCATTATCACCCATCATCTACCTCCATCCATTTTACCATTCATCATCCATCCCTATCTACTTCCATCCATCAGTTATCCATCCATCTATCAATCCATGCACCAATTACCTACCTACCCACTCACTCTGTCCATCATCCATACACACACACACACACACACACACACACACACACACACACCCCCAACATTCCTCACAGGTCTACCAGGCTCCAGGTACCAAATGAAGGGTGGGAATTAAAAGAGTGAATTGCTACCCTGGCCCTCAGATTCCAGAGCCCTTTCCTAGAGGGTGTGGCAGGACATAAGTGCAAGCAGGGGATGCCAATGCAGAACAACTCCTGCTTAGACTCACAGGGACCTGGGAAGTGGTCTCAGGAGAAGATAGGGAGATGTAGGCATCCACTGGAGTGGCCTCCTGGGTGGAGTGAGCAGTTTGGACAAGGGTGACCATGCTTGCACATGAGTTGCTCTCAAGAAGCCAGGAGCTGCTAGAAAAGGTGGAAGGCAGCAAGAGAGCAGCCCAAGGGTTGACTGGGGTGTTGGAGTATCCTGTAGTCCTCTGAGAACCACCCTTTGCTCATGAAAAACAGTAACCTCCCTCTCCTCATCCCTACCACTAGAAGAGAATTCCCTGGGCTTGACTTCTGCCCTGTCCATGCTCCACCCACTGAGGAAGGGGTTGTTCCATGATGTGACTTGAGAGGGGAGTCCAGAAGAGCTCAAGTCCTCTCTTGTGTGGTGGGTGACCCTGGCCTTGGCCTCTTTGAGTCCGTTGTCCTGAAGCCCAGCAAGGCATCCTCACTCCCTTAGCCATGTTACTTGTGCCATGCTGTCTCCACACTGCCTGTCAGCATGTGCCATCTGTCTGGCACCTGGGTTGCTGAGTGAAATATCCTGGCCATCATTGCTGTCAGGAGAAAGATTGACCTTCATCCAGGTAGAGAGTGGACTTCCTGAGAGAGTCATGTCAGAGGGCGAAAAGGGTCCCAGCTGGCACAGCATGGGCTGGGGGCTGGCACTGGAGGAGAGGCTCAGTGATATGGTTCCTAAATACTGGATTTGGGGGAGCCTGAGCCACCAGGGCCTTGGGCTGGCATGTGGAAATACAAGGTCACTGCCCCACACAATCACAAAGCACCACACACATGTACATTCGTGCATGCACATGCATACACACATGCACCTGCATTCACATACAGTGCACACCTGTGCACTTCTAGTAAGAATTCCCTTTCCAAGTGGCCTGTCGTTTCTGTCAATAGATCCAGAACCCCCTTTCTAATCTGTCCAGCTTGTTGCAGATTTACCGAAGTGACTTGCTGTTAAGGGGGCGTCTCTGCAAGTCCAGCTTTCCTCACCCTGGTTCTGGCAGAGAGCTCCTAGCCTCCCTGTCACCTTGCTGGGCCTTTACACACAGCCCGGCCTGTTGCTCCGCCCTGGCCCCTGGCTCCTGGACTCTCTGGCTGTGGCGACACCTTGTGGCTGGGTGCTGAAGTGGGTCCTGGTTGTGGCAGCCTCGTTAATGTCTCTTCTGCCTTTTTTGCCTCTGTTGGCTGTTTTGCCTCTGTTGCTGTCTCTCTCCTGTTCTGCTTTTCTCTCCTTTCCTCCCCCATGTAGACTCGGCTTTGCAGCTGGGAAGGCTGGTCTCTTTTCCCCTGGGGAAGCACTTTTTCAGGCTGGGCGACATGTTGTGTGCATTGCAGAAAGCCTGTGCTTTGGAAGATGGCCCTCGCTGGCCAGAGCCAGGTCTCTTCGTGTGCAAGCAGCCACCAGGACAGCACATATAAGAGTGAGCTTCTGTCCCTGGAAATGGCAGGTGGTGTCTGTGCATGGGGGCTGCTGCAGGTGGCTGCATCCATCAGCTAGACCAGGAGAGTGGAGGCAGAGAGCATGGAGGCAGAGAGCCATCCCTTCCTGCTCCTACCTAGCTGTGAGGTGTGAATGGGCTACTCCACATGTACTGTCTTCAAAGCTGCCCTATTAGCTGGGCTTCAACCAGTGTCAAACTCCTGGGCCTTGTGTCATCAAAGCCACCACCTGGCAAGGAAGGACAGCCACTGGGCTTCACCGCTGAGGATGCTGAAGTGACCTATCCAGGCCTATTGGGTGTAAGGGGAAAGGCAGAGGCGGGATCCAAACACATGTTTTCCTCCCTGTAAAATCCAGAACCACACTGCCTTGCCTGTACCCATACTCTGTCCGTTTGTCCTGACAGATGGAGAGGGAAGCAGCAGCAGCTGTGTTCACCCCAGAGCCCATAGCAGCCCCACTTCCACAGCGGCCTCCTCTTTACAGCTGCTTCTGTTCTCCAGCTGCCTCCCCTTCTGGTTACCAGGTCTTCCCACAGGCTGGCTTTCCCTGGTGACTGGGCAAAGCACCCTAGTTTGGATACTGGCCCTCAAACCTATGTCTGGTCTGTGTTTGGGGGTCTTTGAACCTGACCAGACCTGACATCTTCCCTTCAGGAAGTTCTCCATCTGTCCAGATATGAGTCTTGGCCAGCTCCCTTGCTGAGGGTTGTAGACCAAGGCAGGTGCACAGTTAGGTGCCTGTCCCAGCAACTTGAGCAACCTGGCCAGGACAGGACCCTGAGCTGGAGCAGCAGATGGGGTTTGCAGGAGAGAGGGCTGGCTTGGGCCAGATGTGGTGGTACAAGGCTGTAATCCCAGCACTTAGGAAGTAGAGGCAAGGAGATCTTGAAGTTGAGGCCAGCATGGAATACATAGTGAGACCAGTCAGGAAGCAAAGAAGGAAGGAAAGAGAGTACAACCTGCCTCAAGCTGGGCCTCTGGCGTGCTGAGGGTGGAGCCAGCCCTGTGTACTGCACCACTGACGTGGGTGCTGTCCCTGACACATGGGGTAGCATCTGGCAGTTCCACTAGGTGTGTGAGGCCTTCCTTGAGCCTGGACCTCCATTCAGAACGGTAGCATCTTTGTGGGGTGTCTCCTGGTCCATCTGTGTCCTCCTGGTGTTCACTTTGCCATCCATGCTACTTGGCTCCCATGCCCTCAGCTGCTGCCCCCCTCTAGCCCCAGCGGGGTACCACAGTGCCCTGTGCTGAAGCCCCTGCCTCTCTTTGTACCAAGCAGCCAGGCTTTCTCAGCGCTGGCTTCCTGTGCCCCTGAGTGGGAGGTAGATGGGGAAGTGAGAGGAAAGGCCTCAGCTTTCCTGGTTTCCCCAGCTGGCATCTCTGTGTGGACATGATGGTTAGTTGGTCCCCGTCTCTGGGGAGTCTGCTCCCTGGGGTCTCTGCTCCCCCCACCCCCTGTTCCCGTGGTTACTGTATCTCAAAAGCTCCTTGCAAGGGCTCAGGCACTTGGTCCTTGCAATTTCTGCCCAGCATGCATCCCCCTGAATTGATCTGGGCAATGTTTCTTCTCCTGGCGCCAGGACCTGGTTCTCTAGGCATCGAGTCTGGCCATTTCCCCAGGGCAGGGGAGTGGAAGAGGCAGGCTGGGCAGGCTGCTGGCCATGGGAGATTGTGGGAAAGTGCTTGTCCTCGGTTGTTCCCAGCGTGTGCATGTACACGGATGTGTATATGTGTGTATGTGCGTGTGCATGTGCATGCACATAGAACTTCCTGCAACTCTCCTCACTTCTGTTTCTCTCACCTACAGGTTCCTTGAGATCCAGAAGCCCCGGCTCTGCAAGCTACTTCGCATCCTGGCCTTTGCATTTCCCTATACCTGGGACTCCCTCCCCATCCTCTACCGGGTAAGGACAAGGACAGGGCTAGGAGGATGGTGCTGGGCACATAGGGGTCAGGCCCAGGTGCTGCCTGATGGCACCAGCAGGGTGGTTCGAGACAGGGTGGACTCAGAGGCCCTGGAAGGGAGAACGCTCAGCGGGCTGGGCAGAGTGGGCAGCATGGGGCTCCATGGTATGCTCTGGAGACAGATCCCTAGTGCACACTGCTCATCATTGGGCCAGGACAGTCACCCCCCTCCCACAGGGCTGTGAGAACTGCCTGGGGTGACAAGGCCACATTGTGTAGCATCAATCACCACCAACCCAGCTGTCGCACTGAAGAAGATGTGAAGGAAAGTCATGAAAGATAGGTGGGGGCCTGTGCCAGTGGCTCACACCTGTAATCCTAGCTACACAGGAGGTTGAGATCTGAGAGCTGTGTGTGTGTGTGTGTGTGTGTGTGTGTGTGTGTGTATGTGTGTGTACCAGTACTGGGGCTTGAGCTCAGGGCTTAGGTGCTGTCCCTTAGCTTTTTTGCTGAAGGCTGGTGCTCTACCACTTAAAATACAGCTCTACTTCTGGCTTTTTGCTGGTTAATTGGAGATGCGTCTCACAGGTTTTCCTGCCTGGCTCTGAGCAAACTCCCACTCCAGGCCTCAGACCTGTGGTAGAGTTCGTATCCATGTACCGAGCTGGGGGGTAGGGTTATGCGTGCTAAGAAAGGAGGGGCTTGGTGAAGCCTGCCCTTCTCTCAACACCTCTGTTTCCTTCCCCCCACTCCACAGCTCTTCCTGTTCCCGGGGGAGAGTGCCCAGAATGAAGCTGTCTTGTACCACCAGAAGCACATGCTCATGACTCTCCTGGCCTCTTTCTTCTATTCTGCACACCTGCCAGAGCGCCTGGCCCCAGGTCGCTTTGACTACATTGGTGAGGCGGGGTGGTAGGGTGTGTGGGGGTGGTTCCTGGTGGGGGAGGGGCTGGCTGGTGGCTGGTGGTGGCAGGGTAGCCAGGAAGAGCAGGCAAAGGCTCTCCTGAGCACTTCTCTCCTGGCATGTGAGGACAGGGTATGTTGGCAGAGGCCAGGAGGTACCTAGGGGAGGAGGGAGAGCCAGGGGAAGAGAGAGCCAGCGGGGGAGCCAGTGGCCATGCACTCTGGAGCACTCTGATGCGCTCCCTAGGTTAGAACCCCAATCATTGTTATTTAAAGGCCATCTTCTTGGTCACTTTCTGACAAATTGGGACTAGGACTTCAGCAAGCATGGCCCTGTGGCTCTCGCCTGGAATCCTTGCTCCTTAGGAGGTTGAGAATGGGAAGACCATGGTTCAAGGCCAGCAGGGGCAGCAAAGTCAGAGAATCCCTTCTACCCTAAACTCAGGTCATGGGCCTATGATCTTAGCACTTACAGGAAGCCTGAAGCAGGGGGAGGGAATCACTGCTAAAATGTATGCCTGGGCAGGAAGCAAGACCCTCTCTCAAAATAGCCAGTGAAAAAGCAGGACTGGAGGCATAGCTCTGTGGTAGAGTACCTGTTTAGCAAGCACAAGGCACTGAGTTCAAACCCCTGTATTACAAAGAATATAGGAATTTTGCAGAGATATAGTATGGCCCATAATGTGGGAGGCTTCTTTATCCTATATCTGGTTACCACCCAATATGATCTCTGGGCCTGGGACCTTGGGCTTTTCTCACAGCCACAAAACCCTCACATCCCTGCTTGCTCCCAACCCCTCTGTGGACGAAGAGTGAGCTGGGTCCAACATGTCACGTGATATAATGACCATGTCACGTGATATAATGACCATGTCACGTGACACAATGAACATGTCAGTGTAGCTAGAATAGTCAAGAGTCATGTAATATCTGAAAACGAATACTTCGAGTGTTAAGCGTAATGTAAATGTTTAGTAACTAGATACATTTCATTGCTTGTTTAAGAAAATTGGCAGTTTGTTAAATGAGTCTCTTCCCTCTCTGGCTTTGCCTGTTCTGAGCATTTTTGTTTATTTGAGCTGTACTGGGGCTTGAACTCATGATCTTCGCTAAGCTTCCCCCCCTGGCCCCCCCCACCCTCGCTCAAGCCTGGCACCCCTCCAGTTCTAGCTCTTTCTTTCTTTTTTGTTTTTTCTGGTTAATTGGAGATGAGTCTCATGGATTTGTCTGTCTGGGCTAGCTTTGAACCATGATGCTCAGATCTCAGCCTCTTGTGTAGCTAGGACGACAGGCGTGTGCTCAGTCCCTTGCTTCTTGGTTGGTGACCTCCAAGGCCTTCTCTGTCTTTGACGCAGGACACAGTCACCAGCTGTTTCACGTGTGTGCAATCCTGGCCACACACATGCAGATGGAAGCCATCCTGCTGGACAAGAACCTAAGGAAGGAGTGGCTCCTGGCTTCCTCCAGGCCTCTCTCCTTCCCACAGATAGCTGGAGCTCTGCTTCTGTGTGTCATCTTCTGCCTCAGCAACATAATTTATTTCTCAGCTGCTCTGTATCGGAATCCCGAGCCAGAATTACATACAAAAGAAACATGATTCAGCCGTATGCTATCTATGGCATGCACCACCGTGAACTGGCAACACCCCAGCCACCAAAAACTGTGCCTTACAATGGCAAAAATGTGGTCCTTGTGATTGATGCCTTGGTAGTTGTTTTTTTTTCCAGTTGTGGGGCTTTAACTCTGGCCCTGGATGCTGTCCCTGAGCTTGTCAGCTCAAGGCAAGCGCTCTACTACTTGAGCCAGAGCGCCACTTCAGGTTTTCTGGTGGTTAATTGGAGATAAAAGTCTCACGGACTTACCTGCCTGGGCTGGCTTTGAATTGCCATCCTCAGATCACAGCCTCCTGAGAAGCTAGGATTACAGGTATGAGCCATCAGCACCTGGCTGCCTTGGTAGTTTTGAAGTGGGTTCGTGCTAAGCAGGTGTTTAGGGGGAGAGATTTCTCTAGGTGTGCACTGATTCTGTAAATGTGATTTTAAGGGGGAACTGGGCTCAGGTTGTCTTGGACAGACAGATGATTACTATTTCAATAAGGGTTAAATTGATCTGAAACAGTTTAAGGGTGCTGCCCTTGGGGGTTTTATACCACTCTTTAGAAGTAGAAATGGATGGCTGGGAATGTGGCTTAGTGGTAGAGTGCTTGCCTAGTATGCATGAAGCCCTAGCTTTGATTCCTCAGCACCAGATAATCAGAAAAGGCCAGAAGTGGTGCTATGGCTCAAGTGATAGAATGGTGCCTTGAGCAAAAAGAAGCTCAGGGACAGTGCCCAAGCCCTGAGTTCAAGCCCCAGGACTGACCCCCCCAAAAAAAAGACGGGCTGGGAAGGTGGCTCAGTAGTAGAGCACTTGCCTTGCATGTCTGAGGCTCTGGGTTCGATTCCTCAGCACCACATAAGCAAAAAAGAAAAAAACCAGAAGTGGCGCTGTGGCTCACGTGGTAGGGCGCTAGCCTTGAGCTGAAGAGCTGAGGGACAGCGCCCAGGCCCAGAGTTCAGGTCCCACGACCAGACCCCCCCCCCAAAAAAAGAAAGAAATGAATGCAGCCAAGTTTCCCCCAAGAGCTTTCCTAGGAGCCTGGACTCTGCTTCAGGATACTTGAGAAAGCAAGGTGGGGGATCTCAAGCCTGGGGAAGGGGAAGTGCTGGGTACACATTCCAGAATGATGGGCTCCCTGCCTAGGGAAGGGAAAGATCAGGGCAGGCTTCCATTCACAGCTCTGTCTTCAAAGTGCCCCTCCAGTATCATTATGGATTTTGAATTTGTAGTCAGATTGATCGATCGATCCATCGATAGCCAGGTGCCAACGGCACATTCCTGTAATCCTAGTTACTCAGGAGGCTGAGATCTGAGGATTGCAGTTCAAAGCCAACCAGGGCAGGAAAGTCCATGAGATTCAATCTCCAATGAACCACCAAAAAGCTGGAAGTGGAGCTGTAGTTCAAGTGGTAGAGCGTCAACCTTGAGTGCAAAAGCCATCCAAGAGTGTGAGGCCCAGAGTTCAAGTTCCAGTCTCACCAAAATGGTGGAAAGGGAAGAAAGGAAGGAAAGGAGGGAGGAGGAAGAAAAAGGAGGAAGAAAAAAGGAGGGAGGGAGGGAGGAAGGAAGGAAGGAAAAGGGAAGGAAGGAAGGAGGGAACAAAGGAAGAACAGTGCTGCTACCACAACTTCACATCTTCCATCACAGGCTAGTTGATCGTCAGCCTGATTTCCTCACCCAGCCCTTGTGGCACACACCACTGCCACATGTCTGATGTATTCCTCTGGTGCCTACTAATGTCCACTTTTCCTCAACTGAGAGAAACAACAGCAAAGATTATTTATTATCCTGTGTTTGTCTTGTTTCACTTGTCACAAGGCCAACACACTCCTTTACTGGTGGGAGACATGGGCCCATGCATTTCAGTGCTTGGCAAGTGGAAAATGGATATCCTTGGAGGAAGCAGGGATGTGGGACTGAACAAACCTGGAATGGTCTCTCTTGTGGGACCAGCCTTTGGGCTGGACAGACAGACAGTCGTGACAAATAAATTCAGCCACAGTAAGGGCCATGCGGGTGGCTGGCTGATTGCATGGCAGCCTGGAGGAGCTGACTTGGGAGAAGAGGCTGGATGGCTGGGAGAGGAGCCAGGCTGGTTGGTGTGGGAGGAAGGTAATAGTTAGCAACAAGGTCCTAAGGCCAGCAGGTGCTGGTCCCCCTGGAGGATTAGGAATCCGGCCACTTGCTCCTGTAGTGTTTAGCCCTAGAGACATAGAGATGATTCAACTGCTGAAGAATTCTGGAATTTTCCTGAAATTCCTTTCTGAGTAATTGCAGAAGGGCTGCCCTGGATCCCTTTGTAACTGTGTGGGAAGCTTTAACTCAGTCATATGTGTTTCCGGCAAGACAGTGGTTGCTCTGTGGTCTCAAGTCAGCAGATCTCTGCAAGTTTACTTTTGCTTCTTCCCAAGCACAGAACAGAAGCACCTCAAAAGATAATTTTCAGCTTAAAGTTTGCTCACATAACATTGCTGAAACTTGGTGGCACTTAACAGCCAAAGGCAGATGGGGGTGGGGGAAATACTGGGAGTTTGAATTTTTATCAGAGGCCCCAGGTGATTTTTTATTTTTCTAAGACAAGAGCTCCACATATAGCCTAGGCTAGCCTCAAACTCCTGATCCCCCAACCTCAGAGTGGAATGCTACTCAGCAAAGAAAAGGAAGAGACATTCTGGAAAAGACTGTAGGGTCAGAGCAGCAGTTAAAGCCCGGAAGGAGGGAAGGTGACTGATAGGATCCACACAAGGAAATAGTTTTTTTTTCCATACTAGAAATATTTGTGAGCTGGGTGCCGGTGGCTCACACGGTAATCCTAGCTACTCAGGATGCTGAGATCTGAGGACTGGAGATCCAGCCCTGGCAGGAAAGTCCATGAGAAAACCAGAAGTGGATTGCTAGCTTTGGGCAAAAAAAGCTCAGGGACAGTGAGCAGGCCCTAAGTTCAAGTCCCACAACCACCACCAACAAATATCCTTTCAGTTCTCAATAGAAAAGAACATGATTGAAAAATAAGCATATATTTGTAATGACACATATGAATATATGAAGGTCTGTGACCCGCTTGGAATATGGAATAAGGTTTCTTTTGTTCCCACTAGGTGGGGTTCAAGTTTTATTATTTAGACCCCTGTGGTTTACTCCCATTAAAAAATCCAAACTAAGAGAAGAGTCCTGAAATCACCTCTATGGGTCAATAGTCCTCCAAATGAAATCTAGGAACTTCTGGAGTCTATGAATATTCTTCCAATTGTTCCATGTGCTGGGTCAAAATGCAAGACACACAACTGTGTCAGCCTTCCTTCCACTGAAACTTTTTTTGGCCAGTCCTGGGGCTTGAACTCAGGGCCTGAGCACTGTCCCTGAACTTCTTTGGCTCACGGCTAGCACTGTACCAAATGAGCCACAGTGCCACTTTCAGCTTTTTCTGTTTATGTGGGCTTTATGCATGCTAGGCAAGCACTCTACTGCCAAGCCGCATTCCCAGTCCGTTGAAACATTTTTTATTGCAGATTTGAGTCAAAAATTTATAATACCAGATTTTCTTTGGGGGGCGGGGGTGGGGAGGATAAGGGAGCTAGGAATAATCTGAAAGGATCCAATAAAACACTTCAAAAGTGTGTGTGTGTGTGTGTAAAGGCCAAACCTTTTCCAAGTTCTACTCCCTGCCAACGTCTCCCTTCCCCAAATCCCATCTCCAGTACTACAGGGAACTACAAACCTTTTGCCGCTTTGGGAGCCCTTGGCCACTTTGCAATAGAGAAAAGTCATTATGCCTGGTGCTGGTGGCTGGCTCCCTAGTGAAAGTAATCCTAGCTACTCAGGAGGCTGAGCTCTGAGGATCCCTGTTAGAAACCAGCCTGGGCAAGAAAGTCCGGGAGACTCTCATCGCCAATAAACTACTCAGAGAAGTTGGAAGTGATGCTTGAGCAAAAGAGCACAAGGACATTTCCCAGGCCCTGAGGTCAAGCCCCACCACCACCACCGACAACAACAACAACAACAGCAACAACAACAACAACACATCCTCAGGAATGGGGGGGGAAGGCCGGGGATCCTCGGGGAGACCGCCGGGGGTTCTCAGGGGGGCGAGAAGTGACGGAACAGTCCAAGAACGTGCTCCAGAGCTAGAACACCGCTTCCAGGGAGCGACTAGGGGCGGATCGGAGCCCTCGGCGTCCCCGCCGGGACGTGTCTAGGACAGGGATTCCAGGGCTTGGCTCCGTTGTCTCCCATCACTCGCGTCCCTCGGGTTTCCGACATCTCCCGTTAGCCCCGCCCCCACGGTCGCCTAGGAGACCAGCGCCCTTTTCCGGGTCTGCTCGCGCCTCCTCCAAGGCCCCGCCCCTCCCCGCAGGCGGGCGCTGATTGGTCCGTTTGAATTGCGCCGGGCGGGCACTCACCTGGGCTAGCAGCGTCGCCGCCGGGCTTTTCCGGAGCTCAGCGCCTCAGCCGTAGACCCGCATCCCGCGGCGTTGCGGACCCTCGTCAGCCCTCCGGACCCAGCCTGGCGTCCTGTCCCGCGTGTGCATTGGGCCCGCCTTGAGCCTGCTGCCATGAAGCCAGCGTGAGTACCGGGGGCGGGGGTTCAGCGGGGGTGGGGTCCCGGGCTGGCAGGGGTCAGGGGTCGCGGGAGGCCCCAGGCCGGCGGGGAGACTCGGGGGTCGCGGGGAGGGGCAGGGGTTACGGAGGATTCCAGGCCGGTGAGGGATTCAGGAGACCCGAGGGGTCGCGGGGGACCCTAGGCTGGCAGGGGCCAGGGGTTACGGGGGCCCTCAGGGGTCGCGGGGTCCTTTCCCACAGCCCCTCAGTCGGAACCTCGGCGCAGGTTCGAGCCCCGGCCGCGTCGTCCCCGCCGCCTGCCTCGGCCTTGCGGGCCGGGAAACGTGGTCCGAAGTCGGGGTCCCCGCGGTCGCCCCGGTCCCGCCTGGGGCCTTCCCGCCTCCTCCTCCTGCCTCCCGCTCTTGAGGGGTGCAGGCCGGGGTCCGGTCCTCGGCTCCCACCTGGGCCGGCCCTACCCAGGGTCGTCGCCTCCCGCCGGCTCCCCGCGTGCGGCCCCTCCTGGGCGCCCCGGCCCTCGTCTAAGATCGACCTCATTCC